TAAATAAATAAATAAATAAATAAATAAAATAAAAATCTATGTACTCACCTCTTTCTTTATTCTGGAAAATTCTCAACAGTTATCACTTTGAATATTGCTTTGCTTAATTTGCTCACTTCTGTCTTGTAAAACATTTTGGCATAGTTTTACTCCCTGTGTTCTTTCTTCAGTTTTCAATATATTTTCTGCCTTTTTTCTATGTGTCCTCTGGGTAATTCCTTCAAGTAAATATTTCAGTAATTTCCTCTTTTCATGTGACTAATTCACTCTTTCTTTACCCACGGAGGATTTTTCCCCTAATTTAAAGTTCTCGTTTTCTGCAGCTCTGTTAGTTCTTTTCTGAATCTTCTTGTTCATCCCTCATGGCTCCAATGCTTGCTTGCCTCTGTAATTTCATCCCATACAAGTTGTAAAAGTCAACGTGCCCAGGATGCATAATTCAAAGGAGGCCTCCTAGAAAAACTTCTGGCCTCCCACAAAGCTCCATGGAAAGCAGCCACAGCCCAGTGCTTAAGGAAATTAATTCTACTCAACCTCAATGCTTGGCCTGCAGCCCTCTAGCCATAATGGATGGGGTGCTTTCCTCATCCATGGACACGGGGACGGGGGACCCATCCTGGAGCCAGAGTTCTGCCACACGACACTGGGGTGAGGTGTGATAGAAAATGACTGCGGATGTTCAATTTTTAAGACACACCATCATCTATCCTCCTGAGAATCCTCCCCCTCACATCAAACACAGTTATCCCATCCTTCTTGCTGCCTCCCAAGTAGCTCTGCAAGTCCTCTCTGCAATTATCTTTAGTTGCTACCTTAGTGTCCTAAATTGATTCAAACATTTGCTTTTGTGCTCATTTTGAGTTTGGGCAAGAGCTGATGGGGTGTGGTGCCGGCTCCCATGGATAAGGTGGAATGAGCATACACCATGATGCTTCCAGAACTGGTCCAGAAAGTGGCAAGGATGAAGGGCGACATGCTCAAAGTTGGGGCCAGGAGAATTTTGAGGAATTCAAAATAATGTCTTTTATTGTAATAAATTATTTTTGTTTTAAATATTTACCTTATGTTTCAGTCACTTCTCATATTGACCT